ACCCGGGCGGGTGAACCCCCCGGTGCCTGCCAGCCGCGGTGACCGCCTGTGAGCCTCCCGGCTCCTCGGCGGAGCCTCAAGGAGACTTCTCGGCCCGAAGATTTCCACTCGTGGTGCTCGCAAGTGCTGGAAGGGTCTGGCAAACCGCTGAGCACATCCGAGAGGCCGTTCCCGTCCGGCTCTCGTTTGGGGGGGTCCGCCTCGCCTTGCAGCTCCTCCGCAGTCGATAACGCAGCCCTGCCGCCATACCCGGCTCTGCGCGCTTGGTGGGATTCGCAGAACTTGAAAGGAAATGTAAAAAAAAATGGCCCTTTTCCAAACACTGCGAAGCTAAGGGTAAATATCGGCGCGGTAAATACCGTTTTATAACGGTGGATATTGTTTTTAAAAGGTTGTGCCTGGCGAATGCTGGACGTGTGAATCTAATACTCCTTTGCTTCTCGTAAAACGGACTAATTGGCACTTGGGTATTTAGCTTGATCAGCTGCGTGTTTATGAACATCATTTTAATTTTTTAACTGACCACGTAAGAATCGTTGCGTAGACGATCGGTGCTTGGACACTCGCTTTGAAACGTGCCTCTCTCTTACCCCGACTCAGGTTTCCGTCGAAGGGGAGGATGAAGCCAGCCCTGCCCTCGGCTTTGAAACTAGACATGGGCTCCATCTCGAATCGCAGCTGTTTCAGAAATGACACGGACTCCTCTGAAGATCAGTCTTTTTCTTTGTTTGACGTCCATATTTTGCTGCCCGTGACAGTAATGTCCATCATCCTGTTTTTCTTGGGAGTCTCTGGGAATTTGATAACGATAGTCATTTTCAGACGCTCGCGGGAGATGAGGACGACAGTGAACATGTACCTGGCCAGCATGGCGCTGTCGGACACGCCGATTTTCCTTGGCCTGCCTTCGGATCTCTACCGCCTTTGGAAGTACAAGCCCTACATATTTGGGGATTTTCTCTGCAAGTTCTTCATTTACCTGAGTGAAACGTGCACGTACTGCACCATCCTGCACATCCCCACGGCGAGCGTGGAGAGGTACTTTGCCATCTGCTTTCTCCTGAAAGCCAAAGCCACCATCACCAAGTGCCGGGTGAAACGGGTCATCCTGGCGCTGTGGGGCTGCTCCCTCCTGACCGCCGGCCCCATCCTCTTCCTCCTTGGGGTGGAACACCCCAACGGCAGCCCGCCCCAGGAGAGCAGGTCCGTCGAGCGCGTGGCCCGCACGGGGCTGCTCGAGACGATGACCTGGGTCTCCACCGTTTATTTCTTCCTGCCAATGCTCTGCCTGACCCTGCTGTACGGACTCCTCGGCAGGAAGCTCTGGCGGAGCGGGCAGCGGCTGCCGGGCTGCCGGCAGGAAAAGGTCCCACACGCAGACTGTCAAAATGCTGGGTAAGAGTGCTTTAGAAACCCAGTCTGAAGAGCTACCTTCTTTAATCGCTCCCACGGGGCGTACAGCCATGTGGGGCACGATGGAGAGGAGGGACAAAACACACAGGGTTACACACATTTGAAAATCAGTGGATTTACACTTAATTTGTGTTCCTGGCTCTTTCTGGTAAGAAGGGGAGTCCCCGGCTGCACGGTATTCAGGCTAGGGATCTTGCTGCAGGGCGGGGAGGCAGATCAGCCTGGCTTTTGGTTGTTTTGCGATCACATTCCTCATGTCCCCCCGCCATCTCTGACCTTGTGGGACTAAATTAAAGAAATTGGAGAATTCTGTGACTTAAAACCAGACCAGGCGCTTCCCCTGCTGTGGCAAGGAAAGGTTTGAAAGCCATTTCCCCTGCAAACTTTCTCAAGCTTAGTGACTCTGGCTTTGGGCAGGATGGCAACAACCCACCTGTCTGGGCTTACAGATTTCACTCTGGGCGAAGAGTTTTACAAATGAGGATCCCCAGCTCACGGGCTGCCCCTTGACCTCACGTAAAAGGGTTCAAGAAACCGCACTGTTTGGTCCCCAGGCTGACACAGCTCTTGGGAGAGGACAGCGTTGCGCCAAGGCTCCCACAAATAGCTTCCCTTCCAGAAAGATTTTTTTTTTTTAAGGCAAAGACACTTAGCAACAAGGCAAAACGTGTTTCTTCACCTTGAATTGCGTACTACACAAATGACTGCTCCTCAATAAGATTAAAACCCAGAAAAGACACACGCAACCCTGTAGTCGAATTTGAATACATTTGTATTATTTATTGGCTGTATTAAATATATTATCTATTTGATAGTTACAATTTAGTAATACAATGCATGGCAGCTTTAACATAAGTTTGAGATACCTCAAAATTACAATACAAGAAAACTGAAGATACCTAATATATTAATGCCACTAGGGTAGATCGTTCTGGAATGGATAACGGCTGATGTAAAGTCTGTATTGCGGTCGGCTTTCACGGATATTTTCTGGAAACGTGACTATTTTGTGGCAATTACAAAAGAACTTTCTTCCGCTTTTTAGGAGTCATGGTTTGTTAGTATTTACTCTGCAATCCTAATTTATCTTTTAAAATCATCAGAAACATTATTGCCAAATAAACCTCTACAAACTTCATTCTAAGAGTTAAAGAAATAACCCTTTGGCAACAGAGATTTGCTGAAGGCAGTCTTATTTGCTAAAAGTAGACTATGAAGAGAAATAAAGACAGATTGTAAACTCTTCTGCAAACTAAAGACTAATATCTGTATAAAACTCTTTCCAACACTGGAGGGAGAGATTTCTATGATATAATAAATGATTAACTTAAAGTTCTGCTACAAGTAGAACATTACATTCAAACATACGTTTTCCAGGACTTTTAATCAAAATAAATAGAGTACAAAATGAAGAGTACATTTTGAAAAGATTAATTTCAGATTGCACCATAAATCTACTTTTAAGAGTATTAAGCGATACTATGTCATAATTTAGGTTTTCCACATCTGAAATACAACACAATGCCTCAAACTATAACGCAACATTATTCATCAACTGCCATAGGAGAAAGACCCTTAAAGTCATTAATTACCAGAAACACTTAGCCTGTAGCACTATCACATCCAACATTCCACGTACAAGTGCATTGCTCTGATGTATATAAAGTGTAGCCGCAGTCTCTGCAAAATACGCTAACTCTACCTTTCTACGGCATATTCCAAATGCTACTGGGGAGACCCATTCTGAAACACGTTCGAGATTTGCGAGTTCCAGCTTTCAAAATGTTTGATATGAAGACGACACAGCTGTCAGACTCATCTTTAGGTATTCGCAAGCAGATTTAAACAAGAACAGTCATATGTAGTGCACAGTGTCCACAAAAAATACCCCCCAGACAAACAGGACGAGTTTCAGAAAAGTTCATAGCAGGCTGAACATTCCCATCTAGAAAACAATGGAATGTGAAGCTGCTACCACCGGGATAGCAAGTCATTTAAAACATTGTACAAATGTTATCTAAAAAGAGTTCTTTCATGTATAATTTGATAATTCAGATTAAGTTAGAAGGGCATCCAAAAGCAGTTTGAACTTTTTATTTTTAGGTTAATAATAGTACAAAAACATTTGCTCAGTTTGAGCCAAATAGCGTTAACATTTATCATAAATGCACTCTTTCTCCTTAAAGACAATACCTGTGCTCTTCTGAAAACACTGCAAAGATTTAATCAGAAGCACAGGAAATTACTTTTCTCTCAGGCACTGAGAGTGAAATGTGGATTGGGCCAACAGCTGCTCACCAACAGCAGAAAGCATTTCATTCAGAAATGTACAATACAAAAGGGGCCTTTTCTGCAACGTTACATGCGAACGCCTTTGCTGTACGAACATTACGTCCTGCTAACGTTTCGTCTAGCACTCCGATTAAAATTCTAAAAATGCTGGCACCCTCTACTTCAACGCTTGAAATGATTATTACTGAATCCGAAATACTAAAATAACTGTAAAGTAGTAACATCACTAAGTCAAAGTCAATATTCTGCTTTCCTTCTACAGTATATTAAATGTGGTATGCTCTAGTAACGTTTTGCCATACAGTACTGCTCTAAGCTGAAGCATTTGTGCTGCTGTATTTCGTGTATACCAAACTACAACAATACCTGATTAAACACTGCGGATCGGCTACCACTGCTCTAGTCGTACTTGAAAAGGACTTGCTCTATCAACGCCGCCTCTCTCTAGCGGGCCAAAGGGCCCCGCTTTGAAT